AAACATGGCACAGATGTGTAAGAAAACATTTGAATCTATTTTGATTTATTTTTAAAGTTATTAGTGCCTAGGTATGGTGGCATCACTGACTGTAAAACTGTATATATTTTTATTTCCACCAGGCTAGTCGATCTGAAAGCCGTCGCCTTCCAGTTACCAGCTTATTTCAAAATGCATCGGTTTATGTCAGATTTAGCTTGAATTAGCAGGAATGCAATGAAGCAGTTGTTCCAACAAAATTGATGCAAAGCCCCAATTATTAAAACCCCTTTCAGTGTGGCACAGTTGAGGAGCTACAGACATCAGATATTTTTTGTAACGAAGCTCTAAATTAGTGGTAGTTAAAGTCAACTAAACCAAACTTAGTTTAGTTGACCTTTTCAGTTTCCTTTAAAACGTGTGTCAGTATTTTAAAGGATGCTTATGGGACAGTGAATACAGGCTGGTTTTTGTGTTGACCTCATTCGTCTTTACTCTGTCATCAGACTGCACTGTTTGTTCCAGGTGATGGTGTGTGGCCACTTGTGCTGTCACCATGCGTTTGCTTTGCTTGTTTATTCGCGTTAGCATGGCTGTCACATCTGTCTGCAACACGGCTCCAGGCACCCATCAGACAGCGTGAACAAACTTACATGAGAGCTGTCCAAGATCCCACTGAAAGCGTCTCCTTTTCACTCTGTTAGACCAAGAATACCAGAGGCTGAAGGTGGGGATGGAGTCTTTGTTGGCCTCAAATGATGAAAAGGTGAATTAAGTTTTTATACTGTTGGCATCATGGTTGTATTTCTTTGATTTAAAAAAAACAAACATGTTATTTGAATTTGGTGACGACAGGATCGACGTATAGAGGAGCTGACTATCCTGCTTGGTCAATACAGAAAAGTGAGGGAAATGATGTCACTTACACATGGTAAGGCGTGTTTGTTGTGTAGGGTTTTTATAAACAACCCACAACGTAACTTTAATAATTCCTGATGTTAACCAACAGGAAGTAGCGAAGAGGAGCTGAGTGGCAGCTTGAAGTTAAAAGCCATCACACACAAAGCTCATTCTGATATCATCAAATCAGAGGTAAATATATGCAAAAATGAAGAAAGTCTGCATAGTGGGTTTGAAGCTTGATGTCTAAAGTCATCAATGTTTTATTATTTTTGCACAGATGTCATCAAGGGGATCTTCTCCACTCATGCTGTGTCCATCTCCCTTTCAGAGAGAACTTGATTCAAGGTAAAAAATGCTTTTTATGTTCAGAGGAAACACTCCGACTAGATTTTGATTACTGTAACTAACTCCATTTGCCATGTCTTTCAGTTTCCAGAACTCTATGGAAACTTCGTTGGTGACTACTGGTGATGCAAGTTTCTTAAATGGATCATTGTAAGCTCTGCAGCAGTTCGTCACTTTGACTTGCAACAGTTTAAACGCTTTCTAAAACGTATCCTGATTTATTTTCCAGACATCGACACAGATTACTCTCCAGCAGTCTTGAAGAGTTGCAAAGTGGATGTTTTCAAAAGGTCTCTTATCCGATACTAATCAGTTTTTAAAACTCTGCAACTAATCTATTAACCAAATGCAGCTCTCTATATTTGCTCCTATCATTCTTTTTTAATATCTCACCTAGAAGTACATTACTTCAGCGCTTTCTAAGGGCCCCTTTACACTGGATTAAGACCAGTATCCAAGGTTTCCAAATGTAGCTGGATGGTGAAAGTTTTAGAAAATGTTCTCTCTGCATATATATATATAAGTGTAGATTGTTGTTTGACTTCTTCTGTCTACTGAATTCTGCTGGATTTAATGAGTTTGGCAGCAATGGTGGCAAGAATTTTAACTTACTTTGATTACTGCCATCGCAGCATTTCTATAATGAAGTTGGAGTTTTAGGTAAAGCCTAGTGTGACCAGTCCTGCTTCAAATTCCCTTGATGAACAATGTATCCTGTTTTGAACAGGTTGCATGTCCTACATAAGTTGCCACTGCAAACCCACCATGCCGCAACAAAACACCAATGTGCTGCCATCCCGATAGGGGACCACCAGGACCTCCCTGTGCAGTTTTGTGCTTTCCCAAAATAGTTTGAGTATTGCAGTAAATTCTTGACAGAGCCAAGAAAAGACAGTCTATGTATCTGTAAAGGTCGTCCACATTCTTGTTGATTTTTCTTCTTTACTGCGAAGTCTTAATCCTTTGTAAAGAGGTCCTGACTTGATCCACACTCTTTTAATCTCTGGGATTGCTAACCTGCTAATTCTGTGTGTTTGCATGTTTTCGTTCCTCCTCTCTTTCTGTTACTTTCAGGCTGGAGTGATCCAGCCAGCTGAAACTGAATCAGACGTAGGGGCAGAGGTACTGATCCGCTGCATGTCGACATGTCTCCTCGCACTGCGAGCTTCACCGCTTTTTGAAAAGCTAAATAGTTCTCCACAGTTTATAGAGCTTTTCTTTTGGCTTTCGCTGCTTTTTTTTTAATAGGATGTAAAGAAATGAGGGATGCCACAAAACCGTTGCACACAATTGTATGAACTGAGCTCCATGCAACGTCACCTTTTAGAAATAAAATCTGTTCCTTTTATTTTTATATGTATATGGCTACAATTGATCTTCAACTAATAATAGCAAAGAAAAAAAAAACCTACATACACCAAATGTGTCCCCAATTCTAAACTTAACTTGCACCAAAACATTGTGACATGACACTTCAGCTGCACTTTGGCCTTTTGATCTCTAATGAACTGCAACCTGATTTTTCTCTTCTTCTTTTTTTTTTTACTTCTATGAAAGAAGCAAATGCTTCCTATGCATGACATCCAGGAGAAAAACATTTTCACACACGCACATGCAAACACACACACACACACAAACAAAAGGGCCAAGACCTACCTGAAGAGGCTGTCTGCAGAGCTCGGCATCATCGCTGCCTCCGAGCTGTTTCTGTCTGTTGGCCTTTCTCCAGTCGTTCCTTCAGAGCCCCCCACTGACTTTGATGCCTGCTCAGATTCTTGCATCGTCAAACATTCAACCTCCAAAGGACATGTTGTTATGCAATGGAGTGGAAGGCCATCTCACCTTAAGAAAGATGGACTCAAAAGACAATTCAGTGGATAAAACATGCTTTTTAAGAGAATATCAGAGCTAGAGATACTTGAAGTAGCAATTGTGTTCATGAGGAGGAGAAACGCCACACGTTTTGTGAATCATGGGCACAACAAATTATATGCACATATATATACGGTTGTTAGATAACGGTGAATGATTTAAAATGATCGCAAACCAGGGCTTAAAAATGTTAAATTGTACGCTTTTCTACTCTGCAGAGTCCACAAATGGAGCCGAGCAAGTACCAAACTCTGCCAGGAAAACTGAGTAAAAAGAAAGAATCTAAGGATGAGCTAAACGGCACCAGAGGCAGAGAGACAGAGTATTTATCTCCTGTCCAGCTCTCCCCTGCCCACCACCACAGCAAAGACTACACCCTGGGTGAGTATTTATGGTATGTTTTCAACCTGATATGAATGGAGTTATGGTAATCTTATTTTTAAAACAAGCAAATATGTGGACTGGCATGTTCTATGGTCTGTCATTCAGTGGAACGTTTTTATTTCATTAAATTGACATGCTTTCTGTCTACCACAAGGAGAGCTACAGCCCTGGCAGACCACCTAAATCCACAAACTTTAAAAAGTACCATAACGCTACTGTCAATAAATTGACAGGAAGGGAGAAAAAATTGCTACTGCTGTTTTTTTTGTGTCATGACAAAGCAACATTGTTTATTTGGTATAAATATCCTGGATAATGCAAGTGGGGACTTTTTTGTTTGTTTTAAACAGTATTACTTTATGACGATGGACAAAAAGGGCCGACTTAAAGTCCTTCTGTTTTGTAAAGGCCACTTGTCAACTTCTCAGATTCAGGTCATCTCAGGTTATAAAGTGGGACTCCTACGAGTCATGGAGGTCTTGCTTGTGCAATTTTAACATGTTTTTCCCATTTGAGGAAAAGCTAAAACCTATTGGGTGCCCAACTGGCTTTGTTGCTGGCAGGATATTAGTTAACACACAGAGCATATATAACTCATGTTTGCTTGTTTCAAGCAACTGTTTTATATAAAAACCTAATTATAATCTCCATGTACAACTCTTTTTGACCTACTCTGCTTCAACTGCTTCATGTTTGTGCTCTTTTTCATTCCCTCCCCCCTCTTCTCCTGTCATCTTGCTAACGGATTGGTCTTTTTGTTCTGACAACAGTTCGGTGCAGGAGTGCCAGCGCACCAGCTTTAGGTACTGTATGTCCTCACTGTTGTTCCCGCTCCGAAGTCAGGGAAACAAAAACAGCACTTAGGCTCCGGGAGAAAACAGGATTTTCCCTGTCACAGTAAAGCCTCCAAAGTGAACAGTCAGACTGGGAAAAGGTTTCCACTGAGGATCAAGCAGCTCTAAAGCTAGGGATTAGTAGGATTCCCTCCTGACTCGAGAGGACCGATGATGATAAACCCTGGCTCCTTCTCTGACATCAGCATTTGCTAAAACTTTAAGTTCGCCGTACAAGCTCATGGCCGCCGCACTGTTTATGTTGTTATGGAGCCAGAGCTTAAAGTAGGAGGCAAATCAAAGGGCTACTGGAGGACGAAGAGTGCAGACTTAAAGGATGTGGGCAGATCAGACTGAAAAAGGATACCAAAGTGAACAAATATGACATGAACTGACTTCCTTTTTCTGTTACAGTCTGCTCTGTAGTTCAGAGCAAGATATTAATGTAAAAAGGTAAGTCTGGAAATGAAAGTGAAACTGAAACATCAGATACTTTTAACACTGGCTTTAACTTGAGTTTAAAAATGGAAAAAGCAGAGCTTCATAAATCTGCATGTCCATAGCTGTAAAAAAGGAGAATGTATACAGCATTTATTTTGAAGACCAAGTAGGTGTGACTAATGCTGGCCTTTGCTTTGTTCTTCCTGCTTTTTTCTCGCTGCACTAACCGCCACTGTCTCAGGATCTCCAGGGAAACATGACCTCTATGATGTTGGTGGGTACTGCATCTCATCAGGGAAATGACTAAAAGTGCTCAAAGCGTCCTGCTTGGAATGAGTTATTTTTTACAGTCAGAAAGCTATTTCTGCACAAAACATGGAGTTTTTTTTTCTTCTTCTTTTTTTTTAAACCAGCAGTTTTTTTTTGCAGTGTTTATGTTCTTGAGTTTGTTCAGTTAGGATCATTTCTGGCACTTTGTGACTTCTTTGCATATCTTTGCTGTTGTGTTCATCTTTGAAGTTCCATTGTTCAACTCTGATTATTTTTCAGATATTGTTTCCCATCATGTTTTGTTGGTGGTTGCTGCCTTCTGTTTGCATGGTCGTTTTGCATCTCATTGTGATCCTTCCCATCTTTGTTGTCGGTTCACAATTCCCTGAAATCACATCTGGTAGCCATCTCAAGGTTGTTTTTGGGGTTTATGTATTTAATGTGACAGTTTTGGAAGAGTAGAAAATTGACTTTTCTAATTCAAGCTTGAATCTTGTTACAGGTTGCTCTTGTCTTTCAACCCGAGCTTACGGTTTTCGGCCCGTACCGAATCAAGGAAAATAAAATGAAACTCTGCATTGATTTGTGTCCTTGTGCCGTTTATGCCTGTCAGACCATGCAGGGAAACTGGAAGAGTGTATGCTGTCAGATCAGTCCCCGCTGTCCTCTGGAGTGGACTCTGGACAACAGTCACCTGTCTCACCTGAGAAAAGGAAGAGTCACAGAGGCATGAAGAAATTCTGGGGAAGGTAAGCGGCAAAGTTGTACAGAACAGACACAACAAGTGGGCATGGAAAAGGACAAATGTATCGTTGTTTCTTTTGTGTCCAGAATTCGTCGCAGTCAGTCGGGCAGCCCAGTTCAGGTTCACGATCCAGAGATGGGAGACTTCAAAAGGGGAGGCTTCCGAGCTACAGCTGGGCCGAGACTGGCCCGTTCAGGGAAAGCACGGTGCACGATCTATTTATTTTATAATAAAGTCAACCAAAAGTCTAGACTGAAAACACACTAAACTAAGTTGTGGCATTTAACTTCTGTGAAGTGAAAAAGTTGCTGTTTCACCAGCAGAAGATAACTTCAGTTTCACATTCATGAATGGTCAAAAAGTTTAAGCCTCCACAGACGTTTGACGTATTTGGACATCATTTAGCGCAGCTGGAACGGAGTGACGGATATATAAATGATTCTGTTTGCAAGCAGCTGGTGCATCTGCAACAGGCACAGCCATGAGTGGAGCAGGAAGTAACTGTTATCATGCAGTTTAAAGGTCACCAAACTCAGGGGTTGCTTCATGGATGCATGCTCGGGGAAATAATGGCCATAAACAGAGTGGGATGGTGGAATGATCCAGTGTAGGAACTATGTAGCACTTTATGGCTCCCACACATGTTGAGAAGGTTTCACTTGAGGCAGACTGTTCCTGTCGTGTGCAAGCATTACAAAAAAACAAAAACAAACTCACTATCTCATTTGAAAACTTTTGAACTGTGCCGTGTCTTTCTACCAGAGATCTCAAGCTGCCATTTTCTAAGTGGAGCACGGAGCAGGTTTGCGACTGGCTCGAGGACATCGGACTTGGTCAGTATAGCGTTCTCGCTCACCATTGGGTCAGCAGTGGTCAGACTCTGCTGGCGGCCACCCCACACGACCTAGAGAAGGTAAGTCATGCACAAAATATTCTTATTTGCTTCATACGAATGTTATCTGGGGCACTAACAATCTGTAATGTCTGCAGGTGTATCCGTGTAATTTTCACCTCGTCTTGTCTGTTTGATCATTTAATTACGCCCATCTCTGCTTTTCAGCCAGCTTTTTAGTTGCATCTTGATCAATGTGAATTTTACTGCTCTTAATTAAAAACGCTGCCCGTTTGTTTCATGAGCTTCATAAATCAGCTCGACTCCTCTTTGGTTCTCAGCCGACCTGGTTTTTATTTTTTTATTTAATTCTTTCCATTTTGTCTGCAGGAGCTAGCGATCAAGAATCCACTCCACAGGAAGAAGCTCCAGCTGTCCTTGAAGAGCATCTGCAGCAAACGGCCAGAAAAATCTGCAGAGCTCGATTATGTTTGGGTCACTCGTATGTAATCAATTCCAAAATACTTTGTTGCGTTAAGCTGTTTCCCCAAAGAGTTTCCTTTATAAACCCACTTTTTGCTCCAGGTTGGCTTGATGACATCGGCCTCCCTCAGTACAAAGATCAGTTTAATGATGGCAGAGTGGATGGACACATGCTGCAGTACCTCACTGTGGTGAGTTCCTTTTATTTACAATTGAAGGTTTCACCCAGCACAAAGCAGCACGAGGGACATTTAATTTGCTTTTACAGGATGAACAACCTGCTCTGTTTTCTTCTTTCCCATCTCAGAGTGATCTGTTGTTTCTCAAAGTCACCAGCCAGCTGCATCATCTCAGCATCAAGTGTGCCATTCATGTTCTTCATGTCAACAGATTTAACCCAAACTGCCTTAAACGCAGACCTGGAAATGAGGTATTTGATTCCTGTATATACAAAATGTCTGTCAAGATTAAAAAAGCTTCATTTGTTTCCTTATGTAGGTACAATGTAGCGTTCAATGTGTGTTTGAATTGGATCGGCATGGTTGCACCACTCTGTTGGTGAATATATAAGGATTTCACGACATCCTCTATTAAAGTGATGGTTAACAGACACTCAAATCAGGCCTTAACTTGTGCGTTTTTATCGTGACATAAAAAACAAACAAAACATTTTATTCCAACCTGAGCTGCTTCATTCTTGTTCCTCTGTGTCTCAGAATGAGTTCAACCCCAGCGAAGTGGTGCAGTGGTCCAACCACCGGGTCATGGAGTGGCTGAGGTCTGTGGACCTGGCCGAGTACGCGCCCAACCTGAGGGGCAGCGGTGTACACGGAGGGCTGATAGTGAGCATCCGTCGTTACTGCAGGTCAAACAAAAAATAAATGAAGAAAACATAAAAATTTTTTTTTTTTTTAATTCTCAAATAGATGTTGGAACCTCGGTTTAACTCCGACACAATGGCTATGCTGCTGAACATCTCTCCTCAAAAAACGCTGCTGAGGCGCCACTTGAACACCAACTTCAATAACCTGGTGGGAGTACAGGCTCAGCAGGAGAAGAGGGACTACACCGAAGCAGCAGGATATTCCCCACTCAGCATCACAGCTAAAGTCAAGGTAAGAAAATGAGAAAATACTATTTTTGAAAATCAAAACACCTCATATACAAGAAAACACACACGGGTAACCCGTCTCCTTTTTTGTGCATGAAGAAAAACACCTTAATCTGCGGTGAGACGTCGGTATGTCAGCTCAGTTTAAGCTCTGAGCTCTTCTCAGTTTAATCCTGCGAGTGTGGTGTGAATCCAGGATCCTCTGCTTTTTTTTTTTTTCTAAAAGGCTCTAAGATGCTGCAGCCTCAGCTCCGAGTCCTTCAGTACTCCAATAAAAATGCAATAATAATCTACTAGACAACTTGCAGTTGAACCATTTAGGGTCTTAAATAGTTGGGCATTTTTAAAGCTCCATGCTAAAGCCATATTATATACAAGCCTGTATGTTAAATAAACCACAGAGCTGAAATCACCCCAAAATAGATTTGTTAGAAACTCATTTCCCAATAAATTCTGTCCTCTGAATAAACGCACTCAAATTAAAGGTTTGATTTTTCTAACGTTTTTCATTGTGCAATTTAATTTGAAGACTAAATGTTTTTTTTTTTGTTTGTTTGTTTTCTCTCCTTGCTACAGCCAAAGAAGTTGGGCTTTTCTCAGTTGACAAACCTGAGGAGGAGACGGCCGGACGAGTCCACAGACTACGTCTGTCCCATAGAGACTTCGTCGCCCGAGTCAGGACAGTCCATGGCCAACGGGGTGCAGATGTGTCCGTACGCCGGCTTTAGAGGTCTGAGTCCCATTCTGGACCGAGAGCCCACCCGGGACCAGGTGGGGCACAAGGAGAGCAAAGCTGACACGTCACCATGAATAACCCCAGCGATAACGCCACGGACACTCTCGAGCTGTCCATCATCCAATCAGATATCCCCTACTGCTGCTGCTTTGCTTCCTTTGACTGCAGCCCGACCTCTCCCTGCTCCCTTAGACTCCATCCATCACCCCCGACCCTGTGCCTCGCTCTTCCAGAAACCTGGAAACGCTCCGATAAACATCTGATTCACAATAAGCCTCACTAACTCGACCTCAGACATTCGCCTAATCACCTAACCCATCCATCGCAAGAAGGCAAGGCCTTTCTCTGGACTCCTGTTGCATCAACTCCAAAAATTCATGCAACGTACATGAACGGCCTTACTGAACACTCTGAGGCTGTCATGCGCCACCAGTAGATGTTTTTCAATAGAAGTCGGCCTCTGCATGATTTTTTTTATTTTTTTCTATCAGTCTGAGAGGAACTTGTGCAATATTTGCATAAAATATATGGAGGGATATTATTTAATATTTATGTCACTACATGACTAATGATACTACAGCATATTTTGTTTGATACCTCGATTGTTGATTTTTATACCGTTATTTTCATAACTGAGTGTAATAGTATTTTTATAGCAAAGACATTTTGCTAAGATAAAATTGTAAATGTCAAGATTTATAAAAAAAAAAAATCATTTAAGTAAAATAAATCTTGTGTGTAAAATTTGTCTCTTCTTTCTACATCGTCTCATTTTTATAGTATTTCTTCACGAATCACATTGCATTATACATTTCCACCATCAAATGAAGAAAAAGACAAATTTACTGTGGCAGCATGCTTCAGCAGTCTGCATCAACCACTAACCTGCTTTCATCTTTACCATCCTCATCATCGCAGTGGCCATCATGCCTTCAGCCTCCACTAACCAGTCAGAGCCCTGAACACCATGGCGTACCTGCTAAAGGTGACATGGAAGTGCATGAGCATGGCTCACAATGCGGCTGCAGGTACAAAAATCCCGATTCCAGTCAGCAAAGTAGGATTTTACCTCCATTTCAGATTGCACATGCAGTTTCAGCCAAAAGCTTAACGTGCACTCACTGGCATGAATGCCACTCGTTTTTGGGTTTCTGAGGTTGTATTGAAAAATTCGTTCCACACGAGCCTGATAACCCAAATACTAGAGTGACATGCCCAAGACTGAATTTTATTTGATCAGTGAGTGGGAATGTGCTGACCTAAAAAACAAAACAAAACAAAAAACTTCAGCTAAACTCTACGCCTTCAAGCTGAAAAAATTTGCAGCTGACCATTTGGTTGTGCTAAATGTTTTTTTGGAGAAAACATTTTACGGTCAAACGGAGTGAAGACTGAGCATTTAACCGCTTCAGCAAGGAGCAATTCTGGGCCACCTTTGCAAGGTTTTTAAACATTACAACAGCATAACTGTACGGTGGGAGTAGCAGCATGGTCGGTTTTGTACAAAGTGGGTGGAAAAATGGAGAAGGACATAAATTATTCAAATTAATCTCTAATCAGCTAGAATACTAAACTTTGGACTCATGAAACCAAGCGATGCAAATAAACCTCAGCAATTCTACCACAAAAAGCATTTAAATATCCAGATATAAATGTGCTGAAAGGTTGTTGATGGCTACAAAAAGCATGTGGTCGAGAGGCAACTCAAATGGATTTTAAATCCAAATACTGGTGGGCATTTATGTACAAGTTTGAGCCGATATGAGTTACTTCACTCTGCTGTGGGAATTTGAGAAAATCTGCAATGAAGGCACCAAATTTGTTTTATTAAAAATCACTGGACATGTTTGTTGTATCACCAGCACACAGAGTAAACAGGAGTTTAACTGTGTAGTTAAAAAAAATTCAAAACGAATACGATATATACGTCAATGATGAAAAGACACAGACTTCTGTCTGGAACTGCATTCATGCATTACAATCAAGTATTTTTATTGGAAGCCATGTATGTCTACAATAGTGACTTGTTACAGGTGTGCGTGTGTGTGTGTGTTACAGATGGTGAAAGCAGAGAGCACCATTTTACAAATAGAAGCTTTGTCTGAAAGCATCAACAACCTCACAGTAAGCCCCAACACACACAAGCTGCTGGTTAATGTCTCCTGCAGCTTGCTGCTTATTGTCTGCAGGAGCAGAAGCTCGAATCTTTCAGATGGAAACTTCTGCTGATTATTTTGAAAAAAAAAAAAAAAAATAGATCAGCAGAATGACAAAACACTGTGAAAATAAGACTGTAGCACCATTTCTACAAGAAAACAATGTGGTACTTTTTGTTAGCTGCCGACAGTC